GCGATGGCAAACCAAATATAACATAATATATATAAATATAAATAACAAGAGCTTTTAATATGACTGCCATTTACACCGTTTCCCTTCATATTTATCCGATTGATATCTGTCTGTATTTGTATACAAAAACCCAGTGATACACATATACTTGTTTGTATGGGTTAGGAGGGCCTGGAGTATGGACTCTAATAGCCATGGTTTGAGTGTTTGGCTGTAATAACATGTATGCGATAATATGTATGGGTATATGAAGTCATCGCATGTCATATCAATCTGTTATTTGCCTTATTTACTATCGTTTATTCAAATTAATACCCGGTTTACTATTGGTATACCTCAGCCCGTAGTCTAAATACGGTTGAGCGCATATAATGGACGTCAAAAATATGGTAGACTCTCTCCCTGTCCTTCACAAAATATGATGGTGAAAAAATTGTAGTATTTATTATACAATATATGCTTATATTCACACCCTATACATGTAATTAGCATTTTACTCGCCAAAAATTTGCATTTTATTACATAATATAAAAATATATTATAGAAATGTTTGCCTAATTTCGTTGTGAAGTTTTCTTTGCTTTCATTTCAAGAGTGAAATTATATTTTTCTCATTACTTCAGTATTTGACTGACGTTTGAATGAATGTGTGCTTTCAATGTAATGCCTGATGTGTTTAGCGTATAGAAAACGCTGGCATTTATTGAATTAGAAAAAATAAATTTAATTTCCATATAAATGTTAATCTTATGGCACAGAATATTTATCGACATTTTTACTATGTTTGACGTGTTTTAACGCACAATATATTGTAATTTACGGTAATTTTTGACATCCAATTTTGACCATCATTTTCAGCGTTAGTTTTTAGTCAAAATTGGGGTAACAGTAGTGATGGGTATGGAGTGAGTGAGTGATGTGTAGCCATAGAAATACATTGTAAATGCACGATGGTCATTTCCCTCTCCCCTACCCTCCCTCCCCCTCTCTGCCCCCACTACTACTCCAGACATACCCGTCGACTACATGATCATTAGCCCATTCCCTACACTACTCTACAACTCATTGTAAACATTAAGACTCAAAATACAGTGAAATACTATGGATTGAGAGAGAAAAATGCGATTTTCCACCCGATATTATTAAGTAGAGTATAGAGACTATTGTTATCTAACAAATACATTGTACAGACAGACGGTGTGATGAAAAACATGAAATGCAATCAAAACTTTTTTGTGTTAGTTTTTGTGAATATTTTTTTGATAATTTTGTATTTTTTAAATAATATTTTTAATATTTTAAATTTTTATATTATTTTTTTGCCAATAATTTAAATGTTAAATTACTATAGTTATGGAAATATTCATTATTGAATATTTTATTTTTAAACCTACCTTTTAACCAAAAAAAGTGATTTATATTTTGTTTTAGTTTTAAAACATGTATTTTTGTTGCCAACAAATGATAGGTTTCTAAAGGTTTGCCTTTTTGTTAATCGATTTTCAGTACTGAAAAAGTAATACACTTTTCAAACCTCTAAACCAATTCGCGTTCAAAAATATTTTGATTTGCGAAAAAACCTTACCAAACAAAATGCAAACACTATCTGCCTGTGCTCTCTCTCTCCGGCTCACCCATTCCCTCTCTCCCTTTCCCTCTCCGCCCCTTATTTTAAATAAAATTTTACGATTTGATATCAAAAAAGAGGCAAAAAAGGGGAGAAGTTTTTACATAAAAACGAGTAGAGATTTTGCGTTTAAAAAACAGTGAGTCTCTCAGTATTCATACGATGAGAGCGTTGTATTCAATGGGAAATGAAATGTAAAAATCGATAAAAGGGTCGCACAGATAGCGGGGAATGGATACCCGACTGGCATATAAAAAATGCCATTCACTACAAGAATATTACCGAAATATTGTAATAATACAAGAATATTACCGAAATATTGTAATAATACAAGAATATTACCGAAATATTGTAATATTACAAGAATATTACCGAAATATTGTAATAATACAAGAATATTACCGAAATATTGTAATATTACAAGAATATTGTCAAAGTTTTGCCAATATTGCAATATCATCAGTATTTGTATTGTATTGCAATACCAATACTAGCTTTTCAATCTCTAATTTTGACTCAATGTCAATTTGCTACTAATGTCTAAAATTTAGATATTTAATAATGAGTTTTGTTTATTTGAACTTCAATAATATTGTAAACTTTGCATTCATTGACCACATTATGAGTACTGTTTCATATTTGCAAACAATTCCATTCATTAAAACGTGAAATCATTAATCAATGATTTCCCAATACTTATGTTGTAAAAGGCATTACAATTGAAATGTAAAGTTCAAAACATTGTTCAAAAGTATCAATGAATATAACGCTATATTCATTCAGTTATTTGTCAATCATATATTGATAAATTATAATACGGATGAGTAATATAGTGTACAAACCATCGCATTTCCAGTCGTTGAGGACACAAAAGTTGCTGTCCTGACACTGGAACTCATTCTGATTGCACGTAACGTTACAATTGTTTTCATCGCTTTTATCTGCAATCAATCACATAAATCAATGACAGACTCCAACACGTGTTGGAGAGTCCTCTTGGACAGGGGTTGCGGACATACCCTCGCAATTGTAGACACCATTACATCTCCACATCGACCGAATACACCGTCCGTTTGCGCACCGAAACTCGTCTTCCGAGCACTCTCTGGGCTGACACTTGAGTTCGTCGGAACCGTCGCCGCAATCGTCCTCAAAGTCGCACTTCCATCGGTCTGCACAACAATATATGACCGCAACAACAGGTTATATCAGCGCTCGGCATAGACACAGACACAGACCCACTGGTCTGCTAATCGAGTAATAACTCACTGGGAATGCACTTATTGTTGTCGCAGTGGAAGTAATTGTCACCACAAGAGGACGGTTTGTCTTTACACGATTGCTCGTCCTCTTGACCGACGCAGTCGTGATCGCCGTCGCATTTCCAGCTGTCAATTAGTTCAGCAATTAATTACAATTTTTATGCGTCTAAAAGACAATCAAATGGTGACAAACCTGAGAGGAATGCATCGCCCGGTTTCGCACTTAAAGTAATTATTGGCACATTTCCGAGCCGTACAGTTGACCGGTTCGTCGCTATTGTCACCGCAATCGTCGTCCCCTTTAATGGTAATCAAGAATATAATTAAATGAAAGACAACAACAAATGATATGATTGTATGGAGAAAAATACATACCATCGCAGGTCCACACCTGAGGTATGCATCGATTATTATCGCACTTGTGTTGATTGCTTTGACACACTTTTTCAGCTAAAACGGCAAACATATCAATGGATAAAACAATCAGATATATACTGTATGTGTTGCTGGAATTTGTTTAAATTTATTAAGTAATAAATTGTGATTTGATCTCAAATTAAACGCTAGTTTAAAACAAAATAAAACAAATCTTTATTTAAATAAAAACAAATGACATGCAATTAAAATAGGAAAATCTTTGGCCTAAATTGTTGGCTCTGTTTGTGTCATAACTTACGACAGTTTTCCTCATCTTCTTTGAGTGGACAGTCGTTTATGCCATCGCATCGACTCGTTATACTAATACAATGGGCGCCAACCGTCTCATTAGCCGCGCATTTGAATTGACTCGGAAGACACGTATATTTGTCTAAATATTGTCAATATATAATTAAAACTATAGTTTAAAACGATTTAATGCCAATTAATACCGCAATCCTTTTCATCGGAACCGTCGCCGCACTGACTGATGGCATCGCACAACTGGTTTGGAGGTATGCAATGGGTGTTATCGCACTGGAACTGACCGGGATTGCAGTGAAACGGCCGACAATCTGACGGTTCATCTGTGGATTTTAAACACAATCATTAGATTTAAATTAATAAATGTTTCAATAGTCGACAGAACTCACCCGAACCATCGCCGCAGTCGTCTTGAGAATCTATTTTAATAAACAAATATTTTTAAAAATTAATTGAATACACAATCATGTAAATGAGACAACATTACCGCATTGCCACCAAAATGGTATACAATTATACGTTGAATTGCACACAAACTGACTGGTCGTACAATTGTTATGACACGTCCTGTTGTCTGAATGGAGAACAAAATTTTCGGGACAAACGCAAACACTGCCGCCGTTTGGCTTCAATAGGCACAGTGTGTCGCACGTGTTGTTTTCGCACGGATTGCCGCCGGGAAGCGGTTGCTGTCGTAAGGGGTGATAGATTTGGAGATCCATAGGTCGGTGAGCGGTTGAGGTCAAAGTGGACACATTAGTGCAGTGGTATTTGTGACAAAACTCGATTCCCTTTGTCTCCCAATCGCTCCAATAGAGTGTGTTCTCAAAGACGGTGAGCGCGAAGATATGGTGCACCAGATGTGATGTTTTACGAGACACAACGACGTGCCGATTACGACCGTCCAGATCGGTGACGGCGATGTAGTCTTCGCGCGCGTCCGCGTAGAACAGGTCTCTATTGACATAATCGATGGTCAGAGCGTTAGGCCATCCGAGACTCTCGTTGATCAGTATCGAAAAACTAGAGCCATCCATACCAGCCCTCCCTATGTATGGAGTCTCTCCCCAATCAGTCCAATACAGATAGCTATCAATAATAACATTGAATTTAATTATAATTTGAGTTAAATTTATAAATAGTCAGAAAATGACAGACAGACCCGTCGAATGGGTTGAGGACTATAGCGCGCGGCTCTTCGAGACCATCTTTGATGAGTACTTTACGAAACTTGCCGTCGAGTCGCGACACTTCTATACTGTCCTTCCCTTTGTCACACCAATAGAGGTTACGTCCGATCCAATCGACGGCAATACCGTCGGGACTTTGAACGGTCGCCGAATGGAGTATCTGTTCGGCCGCCGACTCGTTGTTTCCGCACAACCTTTTGATAGAACTGCCCAAAGAGGTCACATCAGACCAGTAGATACACTGTTCGGCCCAATCAAAGTCCAGCGCCACGGCGTTTGTCAAATTGCGGACGAGTAGCACATTGTTGTGTTGCTGTCCTTTCGTATTGATTTGTCGGATGTAATAGCGGTTCGAGAAGATGAGCGTCGACTCGACGGTACTGTTGGCCTTACATGTGGTGCCGTTGTCTATGGAATAGTAGTTCTTATGACAGGAACAGTGGTACGAGCCGTGAGTGTTACGGCACTGTTGACTACAGGGGCGGCGAGTCTTGCACTCATCAATGTCTTTGCAAATGCGTCCGCCGTCCAAAGGCTCGAAGCCGTCAAAACAGCTGCACTTATAGCCAATGGGCATGTCTTCGCACTTCTGTGAGCACTGGATCTTCGACTCGCACTCATTGACATTGCATTTGGATTCGTCTGAATAGTCGCCGCAATCGTCGGCGCCGTTACACAAGAGGTCGGCCTCAACACAGATACCGTTCTCGCACTCAAACTTGCCGTCCGTACACTTCGAGCCGCCGGTAATGTTATGGACGCAGAGTTCGTTGGACTCGTCCTCTCCCTCGTGACAATCGCTGATACCATTGCAGAGCCACGTCTTCGGTATACACTTCTTGTTGTGACACTCGAACTGATCGCCGGAACACTTGCGGAACAGACAGTTGTCCGGTTCGTCCGACTTATCGCCGCAATCGTCGTCGCCGTCGCAGAAGAAGCTCTGAAGAATGCACTGATAGTTGAGACACTGGAACTCATTCTGTTTGCATATGCTATGAGCGCATCCCTGTTCCGGGTGCTCATCGCTGGCCTGTGTGTCTCCGCAATCGTTTTCGCCTTAAATTACAAAACAAACATTTAATGCTTTTATGTCCACAAAAAAGTTAACATTGATTTCAATTTAACATTAATATAAAACATAATAATTGTTATGAATAAATAAGGATTGAACGCAAAGCTATGGTCTAACTACAATTCAAATGATTCTAGAATCTAGAATACATGTAGAATGCTTTTAAAATACATGGTCTGTTTGAACAATTGTAATTGCAAATTTAAATAAATTCTATTTATTATCTTGATCATTTTTAAGAGTAAAAACTAATTAGAATTGAAACAAGGTCTTCAAATTTTATCATTAAATTTGTAATAATAATGATAATAGATTGAGAGTATTTTCTAACGTTAGTTTTATATTTATAATTTTTACAACAATTAAAATTATTTTTATCACATTTAATTCAGATGCCTAGTAACTTAATAACTAAACTTAAAACTTTTAAAATAAATATTATTGTTGCATTTTAAGAAAAACTGCAAAACTTAAATTCATATTCAGAATCGGGTATTAAATAGTAAATAAACATAAAGAAAAGCGAATTTTAATTGTTGGATATTTAACAAACACTAGTCTCGCAATTTAAAAAAAATGCAACAATAAAAATATTTTTATCCCTCACTTGCCATAAGTTTATTCATAACAATAAAATTTTTAAATAATTATAAAATATAAAATTTAATTTCATTGTTACTAAACTTAATAATAGATTTGTAATTAGAATAACATTAGCCACATGTTAACCTAGGATTGCAAGTTATTTGGGTGCAATGATATACAGTGACCACAATTATAGTCTCAATTATAGTTCAAAAGTACGGGCAAACATACCATCGCATATCCAAATGGCGGGAATACATTGTCCCGTATTATTGCATCGGAACCAGTCGTCAGGACATGTCCTAGTCTTGCAGTCAGAAGTTTCATCGCTGCCGTCGGCGCAGTCCTGATGGCCATCGCAGCGCCAAATACTGGGAATACAATCGGTATTATTGCACCGGAATTGGTCCGCTTGACACCCGTAATGGCAATTCTCTTCGTCGGAGCTGACGGTGCCGTTGCGGTCGTCGCAGTCGTTGTCCCGATCACAGACCCACGCCATTGGTATGCACTGAGTTGTGTGGCATTTGAACGAATTGGACGGACAGGAGGTTTCGATTTGTTTGGTTTTGCAATTCTCTTCGTCTGAGTTATCCCAGCAGTCATTCTGTCCGTCACAGATCCAGTCGGGATGTATGCACGCCGTAGTCGACGGACAGCTCACAAACTTCTGCTCGGGATCCCAGAAGAGCGGGTGTTTGGAACAGTCGGGCTTCTCGGGGCACCCGATCTCGTCCGACACGTCGGCGCAGTCGGGGTCGGAGTCGCACCGGAACTGTAGGCCAATACACGGGCCGTCTT